AAATTCAAGTAAATCACCATAGTTTTAAGCAATAATTTGATAGTCTTTTTTATCGTGCTGATGTTGATTGTATAAAGATTCCATTCATTTTTTTTCAAAAATAGACTTAACTTGTTAACCCTGCTAAAAATGAAAACATTACTGTAATTGCCCTTTCATTTTGTTCTTCAATATATGAATAGTATGGTCAACATGCTTAAATTTTATCTTTGTTTGAATTTGAAAGCGTAGATTTTTCATTGCTGCCAAGGAGAAAAATATACTTAACATAAGATATTAATTATTTAAGAACAATCGATGTTAAATGAAGAAAACAAAAGCTTTTAACCGTTCACTATGAATTGCAAGCTACTCAGTTTTTATTTGTTACCTTAATTTGTTTGTTCCTAATCCCTTTACGAGATTTGAACAGCGGTAAACTGATGTCACCTTAATTTGAAATTACATCTTCAGTCATTACTATATATGATTAAGCAAGGGTTTGCTAATGTGCTAATTTTGAAAAGATATCCAGCAGTAGAAATTTATATAATTGTAGGTGCACGTTGTCTAACTAAATACAGTAATGTATAAAATTAGATTAAATTATCTTATCATGTCTAACTCCTTCTTAAACAAGACGAGTAGTAGCACTATATATAGGTCCTTGATTTAATAAAATGAATGATTTAACCCTTGCAAACGTGAGCAACTGATTTCAAGTAGGCTATGGATGAGAATGTAAGGAGTCTTGCTTCACAAGTGGCAATTGTTGGTAAGGGAAATCAGTTGCTTAGGCATCATGCAATAGCGAATTTGTCAAAGTATCCGGACTGGTAAAAATAGACTTATAATTCTTGATTATGTTTTTTTTTTATTTATTTATCTGAAAGAATGATATACATTCTGATAATTCAGAAACAATATATTTAAGATTTTTGTGCTTGTTTCATTTCAGTATATAAAAAAACCCCAAAAAACCAAACACGCCATATTGTTTGAATATAATCTACACGCAAAGAGAATCGAAGTATTCGAAAGGGACATTCAAACTCATAAGTCGAAAATAAATTGACAACGTCATCGATAAAAAGAAAAAAATACAAACAAGAAAAACAACAGTACACAAAACAACATAGAAATCAAAAGACTAAGCAACACGAACCCAACCAAAAACTGGGGGTGGTCTCAGGTGTTCTGGAAGGGTAAGCAGACCCTGCTCCACATGTGTGGCTCATATAGGTCAAACCCGGTGATATGACTACGTTGGTATGTCCCATATGGGAGAAGAGGAGGAGATTGTAGTAACGACAATTGGAACATATCCGTCGTCATCTGTGAAACAGATATTCCGTAACGATCAACCAACTCGTAATGGAGTCCTAAAAATCTATGAAGGGATGATTTCGACTTCACCACTTGGAACCATTGGTTTAATATCTTCCTTGTGAGCAGCAACCCTCTGTCAAGGAAATTCTGATAGAAAACACAAGCCCTTGAATAACGTATCAACTTGGAGATATATACTCCGTATGCCGGAGCTGCCGGAATGTTGCTACATAGAAAAGGAATTGATTGAGGAAAACGATTGATTGTTGAAAAACACGTCCTCCAAACATAACAAATATGTTGTCAATAATGACAGCAAGCATCTTGATAATGTCAGTTTCAGAGATTTTGTTTTTTGAATCAGAGTAATTATTAACAAAGTACAATTTATCCCTCCCTAAGACAGGAAACTTGTATCTACGTAATGATTTTTGTGTATGAAACTAAAGCATGACCAACTCTTTCAATTTGTCTTTTAATAGGGAATGGGGAACACGTGTGTAAAGTGTAGAAAAGTCAAATGTTTTAATACTGTTGCAAGATGAAAGAGTCATAGATTGTATGTACTCTAAAAGATCTTTGGAAGTATTTAGTATCCACATCTGATTTACGCCAACTCTAGAATAGGTAGTTTCACAATAACTTTGAAGACCCCGGCTTTGATTGCTGATAAAATAGATGTTGATGATTTAGAAAGAGATTTCGTAGAGCACTTGGAAAACCCACCAGTATAATGTTGTTTTAAAGGACACTTATGTTCCTTGCAAACGTATGTAGACACTAAAATGAAGCGGAAATTATGGTATGGTACATATGATAACAACAATAAACAATCTGTACCGTTTATTTTTTCAATGGTAATTTTTTTCTACGTGATGTAAGTCTTTTTGAGGTTTTAAGTATGAAATATATACTCAAAAATACTTCATATAATAAGCTCGTGATCAAACGTTTGGAAAGTAATACTTAGTTAACACGAAAAAGCATCGACAAAAAGTGTGTAGTAGAGTATTCAACATAGTTTTAGATAAGCTTGACCTTAGTTTTATTACAATTATTTATTTCAAAAACTGAACTTGAAGATACAGATTAGATACATTGCCCTATCAAGTTGTGGTTCACTTGATTTCCGCACCAAACATTTAAAACAAATCTTCGTTTTGTCATAATGTGTTGTTCCACTAAAACCACGTTGAAGAGAGGCGAAAAAACGTAAAGGGGTGTTCAAACTCAAAAGTCAAAAAGGTAAAAATTGTTAAAAACGACATAAAGATGAACGACAGTATACAATAAAGGCAATACAAATAAATATGGTAAGATGTGATCAAACAAAAAAGTAAAATTTAGAATAAGGCTCAAACATATTGTCACTTTTGTTGTAAATATTTTTATAAAGTTTCTGGTGTAAAATTGAAAAATCTTAATCGGGAAATGGAAAGTAGAGTAAGTTCCTGTGGGCGAATTTTATCAGTCTATTAAAAGAATTTTTGAATATGTAACGAAAACATATCATCAACATAAGTGTTGTCATGGTTGTTTAATTCAACAATTCAATTTAGAATTATCTTTTCACAGAAAGGCCATAAACTATGACGCATGACATTAATACATTGATAGGTCTGCTATTAAAGAGGCACAATTGGTTTCGACCAAATCAATACCTACAGCATGTTGATAAACTTTATTGCTGAAACGTTCATTTATATTGTCAAGGAGAACATTTATTGCTTTAATCTTCTCATCACACTTCTATTAAGTATATCGAGCATATTTACCATTTTCTTTACCGTTTTTTCCCCTGATTTTTAGCAAATGAATTAGCAATCAGAATGTCCAAAAGACCCTTTAATTAAAGAATTAATTGTTTGTATGATACGATTGGTAATAAGCGTAGTGTAGAGAGTCGAATAGTCATAATAGTCGAGCAAATTGAAAGGACCATAAAAAGCATGTAATTAATCTGAATCATTCATAGAAAGTTTTACGCTCCAAACATGATTTATTCCATTTTTAATTTTTTGTAAAGGTTAAGGGTAAATATTTTGATAAAACTTGTGGAATTAGTTTAAAGCACTGACAAATTAGTTCCAGAACACTTACTATAAGCCGATATGGAACGATATCGGGTTGGTTCAATCAGTTAAACCACAAAATGACAGCTAAGGGACTGATATAAATTTTGAGAAAGTGATTTCTTTAAAGATGATGTTTTTCTAAATATTTTGTTTAGTCTCCTGTATATAGTTGTCACATTGGCAATCATACAACAGCTTTCTATTTTTATAGTTGGAACGCCAGCTGTGTATCGGGACGATTACATTAAAATTAAAAAAAAATATAGGTTTTCTTTTTTTCTTTTTTGCTATATTGTAATAATTAAATAGTTTTTGTCAAAAACATATCAAATCTAAAAGAAATATCTTGCAAGTACAAAATATCGTGTCACGGGATATTTTCAAATTAATTCTTAATTGTCTAAACAGATGGAAATTGACCATTGTGTTAAATGACACAAAAGATTTGCATCAGTTCAAAATACTTGAAAGTCATGAGAAAAGTTTATTACTGTTAATTCAATTTGTAACACGGTTATAAATCTTACGTCCATAATAGTACTATTGATAACTCACATCCGATATATTTTTGGAATTTTGTATATTTTATAAATTTGAATATATAATCCCTACTTTTAGTTTTCATTATCCTTATCCATCCAATTCATGGTCAAGATCGGGGAAAAACGTTAAAGAGGTTTAACCACACCACATTTTGCGACTTAAACATTCAGGCAAACTCGAGCACTCGTTGTTCTTTGTTGTATAGTAGGAGTTTGTCCTCTGTCGAGCCCGTTGTTGGTGGTTGATTTGGTTTGTTCAGGAACATATATATATATGTTAGATATACTGTTCCTAGGTTTGTTTTATCTTCAAACATTTCTGCTGATTACTGCTATCGTTTTATACATTATTCATAAGGACACATTTTTTGAACATTTGGAATTTTTGAATTCAACAACTTAAATTGGATGTATATTATAATCTACAGTACATTTAGTTTGTTCAATGATTGCTTCTGGTATGGTCTGAAAAAGATGGAAATTATAGATGTGTATATGACTAAAAGGAGATAAGGGGGAATAGGTCAACACAATGAAACAGGAATCAACGTCATGAACAACCAACAGATATCTGGAGCGTCATTATTTGCAGTAGGCAGGTGTTTATTGAATATAATTAGTTCCAAATGATTCTAGATGAAGTCCATATAAATAAATGCAACAAAAACTATCAGAGATTCCGATGAGCACCAACATTTGTAATAAACCAAACATTAGAATATGTCATACAGAAACTCACTAACGAGGTTCATATGAATTTCTTATACACATTTCCCTTGAAGCCCAATGCCCCTTTCCAATCGAAAAAGAAGCTATAGCTCTACATGTTGCTTCACACACTATTTTTCATTGAATATTTAAAAGCTTTACCAGACAGTCACACTGAATCATTAGACATGTTTGAACTGCATATCAATATGTACTTGTTTGTTTTTTTAAATAGTCGGACATCCCCATATTGTCATCATGTACATTATTCAAGATAATCGTTGGTTGTGAATATCTCTACAGTCAATCGTCGAAAAAAAAACCGCTTAAATGAATTATGATAATACATAATAATAAAAAGTTATTCAATTAAAGATTTTAATGCAATTCTCTGGCAAGGAAGCATAACAATTTCTATCATTTAGCAGTTTATATATATTTATGTCCTTTTTGTATTACTTCATTACATGATTTGTCACTGTGTTGGCTGCAAATGTCCCAGAATCCTCGCCAGCTGAAGCTTAAAATGTAATATAAGAATTAAAACATCATAAACTTTGCATTTCATAAATAATATCAATTAGCGTTACTGTATCTTTTTTAAATAGTATGCGATTGTTTATTGGATTGGTTTTTTCTTGCAAGTGGGCGGTTTAGCTATCTACAAAACCAGGTTTGTCCCACCATTTTCTTCGGACATTGCCTATACCAAGTCAGGAATATGACATTTGTTTTTATCACTCGTTCCGTTGATAAATCAGGTTTGAATATGTCAGTTTTTAATGGTTTTCCCCCTCTTTGAATTTACCTAGAACTTCTATATTTTTGTTATTACTTTTTGTCTGCATAATAGTTATGATATTCACTATACCTTTAGATATCATGGTTATATTTACACAAACACTCTTCATCAATTACTGGTTTTGTATCTTTAAACACAAGACAATTGTAATCAGATTGTATATTGTAAAATTAATTGCCCTGGAGTACCTTATACATTCATCATATCAAAATCAGTCGGGTCCAGGACCAATCTAGTATATCTTTGTAATAAATTCCATGTTCTATGTAGATGTATCTAGAGCTATCTAGAATTAGTTTACAAAATGTATGTAAAAAGCTTTTTTTTATGGAATACCTTTCCACTATTTATTTTATGTACTTTTAAAGAAATTTACACGTGCTTGTAATTTGAATAGTGTGTATTCTTAGAAAAGAATCACATAGCTGCGTCTTTGTCCTTTATTATATAAAAGGTTATTCTTTTGGTGCATGAAAACCCGTTAATGTTATAACATAACGCTAGATTCTGAACACCAATTTTACAAAGTTAATTACAAACCTGTCATTTCACAGCCGTTGCAATAACATTTAGAATTTTCGCAATAACCAACCGCGCCGTTACACTTAAATCCTACACAACAACCTTCACATCCAATGCTGTTTGGGCGAGTTTTACAAAATTTGTTTGTACAAACTTGCTGAAATGATTCTTGCATACCTGTAAAAACAAATGCTACATGAAATATATTCATTTTCTGTTAATACGAATCCGGAATCGTACTATTGAACGGTAAGGGAAAGGGGATTAACTTGCATAATGTTTTAATTCATCATTCTAATTGTAAGTTTAGAGAAAATTGTAATATATAACCATTTACATTAAACATAGGTTAAGAACTTCATATAAAAAATTCATCCTTTATTTAATGTTTAAACGCATATGTTCCATCTGTTCACATCAAAGTTAACATAAAGGAGAACACAATTGAAATAATTGTCTATATAATCAATAAATTTCGAGACTTACAGGTAAAGAATATTTCATTATGCTCACAAGCTGCATTTGTTACATTTACTAATATTCTATTATATTATATTAGTGACAAGTTAACCAGATGAAAGTGAAATGTTACCTAAAGCTAGGAGAACAATACCAAATACAAATGCTGTGCTATTCATTCTGAAGATTATACCTAAAGCATAAAGAAAAATATTGTATATAAATGTATACAAACAAGATATCGATAAAGATTAATAATAAATAACAACAAAGGACGTCTCTTCAATGAAACCTCTAGACAGAAACCAGTTGTTGGCATGATACGGGTTATGTTCTTTTCATATATTTTATGATGGTATGATACTAAACCCCTAACGGGAGAGATTGTGCTTGATTTTCATATGACGAAGACATAATCTTTCAATCAGTTTAATTGAGGTCTGGAGCTGGTATGTCAGTAAGTGCTAGTAGTCAATTGTTAATTTATGTATCATTGTCATTTTGCTTAGTTTCTTTTGTTACCTTTACTGACTCGGACTTCTTTTAAACTGAATTTAACTGTGCGTATTGTTGTGTGTTTGATTTTTCTACATTGGCTAGCGGTATAAGGGGAGGGTTGAGATCTCACTAAACATGTTTAACACCGCCGCCTGTTCCAAGTCAGGAGCCTCTGGCCTTTGTTAGTCTTGTATAACTTTTGAATTTAGTTTATTTATCATTTTGGAGTTTAGTATGACGTCAATTTTCACTGAACTAGTACTCATTTTTGTTTAAGGGCCAGCTGAAGCCCGCCTCCGGGTGCGGGATTTTTTTTCGCTGTGCTGAAGACCCATTGGTGGCCTTCGACTGTTTTCTGCTATTTGGTCGGGTTGTTGTCTCTTTGACATTCCCCTTTTCCATTCTCAATTTGCAAATACAGAAACCAATTTAGTTTCCTTAGAAAATACCTACCTTGCAGAAATATATGCACACTGCACACCACTAGAAATTGTCAACTTTGTTTTTTCTTCAAGTAAACACAACGCTTATCACTTGCAGTAAAGTGAATTTGTATTCTAATGACAACTATATATCGATGTAAAGATTTAAATAAAAACATTATTCATAAAACAAAAACAAAAAAGAATGAACCATTTGCAACTGCACTTTAGATAACAAGAGAACATATTGGATGGAGAGTTGTCTCATTGGCACTCATACCACATCTTATTTATATCTCAGATGAAAATGAGTCTGCAAATATATTGATTGGAGCATAAAGGTATTAATGAATTGTTGAAGATTAAACCTTACATCCCATGTATTGCTTTCAATTTTCCTTGGTTAACTTTGCAGTATTATTGAAGAATGGTTCAGCACCAACTGCATATGGGATGTACATTTCTTTGGTTATCTGATTGCAGATTGCAGAACTAATTGATTGAGGATTACTACTTACGGAGAAGCTAACGAATAAACAATTATTAAATGTAAAGCTTAATTTGTAAACCTTTTAGATATATGTCTATTTTTTAAAGTTTGCACATCATTTGTTTTAACTTTCAATCAAATGAAATATCTGGGAATGTATATCATTGTAACAAACTTGAAATTGATGAGTAATGCATCTGTAGAAAGCATTTGCAGGAAATGACATTCTACAGAAGTACTTCTCGGATCAGACAGTTCAGCTCGCACCTGCAGGTTCCGCAGACTATTAAGTGCCTAAAAGCTATCATGAGTGGCTCGGGGAAAATCTTGGATAGTTTGGAATTTTTTACATCTTTTTTCCAATGCTCATGAATGACAAGCTGTTTTTGAGAGATAGTTGGTAAGTAATTAAGAACACATGGAGTGTATCTATGATGAGTTTATTTTATGTGTTCTTACTTACCACCCAACTTTCAATACCAGCCTTGATATCATTCATGGTCATTAAAAAACAGTTGAAAAGAATTCCAAACGTTCTTTCCTGGAATAGAAGTGTCATTTTTTGTAAAAATTGTTCACCTTTAACGTTAGTAATCAAGTTTTATCAAATTTTCAGTTGCAAATTTCCCGTTGTGTCGATCAACAACCTTTAAATATTCTAAAAAATGTGTGTACGTCTTTTTGGCAAACATGATGCTTACTGTTTACACTTAACCCAGACGTTGCAATGTTGGATTATTTAAAATTCTAACCAATGAAACAAAGTGATCAAAAGGAACTAGGGTACAATACATGTTTGCCATAAGACAACTATCCATCAGGGTACAAATGACGTGGATGTCAGAAAAAATAAGACCATTCAAATAAGAAAACAAAAGGTCTAATTCATGCTAAGAAAAAAATAAAAGAAAAGCAAATATGACTGAGAAATATTAATGACATCCACTAGAAATAATGTTCGCGGTTTTAGATTTTTATATATTCAAATGACCTGTTCTGTTACCGAATCTATCTTATTTCTGATAGTTACATTTTTACTAAGTGTAGATTCACTTGCCGGAGAATGCTTGCATAGCAAGATATGCTACGTCGTCTATGTACCCCATCTCGCTTCTTTTTGAGTTAATTCAATTTCCAAAGTTCTGGATTGTTTCTTTGTTTCCTCTTTTAAATCGATTCACGAGATTTGAACATCGGTAAATTCTTTTGCATTTATTTAGTTATAAATCAAAACAATACAAATGGTGGTACTGATAAAAAAATCTTTAAAACAAACTACTTAACAACCATAAGGTGACACAATAATTTTCACTCATTATGATGGTTTAAGGGATAATTTCAGCTTCCCAGTTGTGAATTTTCCATTTCTATATAGCAATATTTCAGCTCCGCCTGCATCTATAATATCTATCTCTTAGTTGTTACGGTATTCCACGGCTTTTGTTTCTTATCAGGATTGCCTTGATAGAGGGTTGCTGCTCACAAGGAAACTCTTAAACCATGAGTTCCAAGTGGTGAAGTTGAAGTCATCCCTTCGAAATTTTTAAGGACCCATATGTGATCTACAAAATTAGACTGATCCCTGGGTTTGTACTTACATCAGCGACACGACGGGTGCCATAACTGGAACAGGATCTGCGTACACTTCTGGATCACACCCGGATTTTAGTTTGGTTCGTGTTGCTAAGTCTTCTGTTTTTTATGTTGTCTTTTATGTTATACTGTTGTCTGTATATTGCTAATTTTCTTTTGTTTCCATGGGGTTGTCAGTTAATTTTTGACTCATGAGTTTGAATGTCCATTTGATATCTTTTGCCTTTTGTTTAAGAGTCGGGTCTCCAATACACATATATCAGAGGTTATTACACACTGATACTACAGATGTTGAATTTACATTAAAGAAATAAGTTTACTATCACTAATATACAGTAAAAAAGAAAGGTCCTTCGTGGTCATATACCTCTCCAACTGTTTCAGATTTATACATCTTTGGCTTTCAAGTATTTTTTTTTGCGCGTGTCAAAAATAAGAAAAATATAGAAAGGCGCTCCGGACGCACGAAATTTATAAATTGTTGCAAATAATGTCTATATGCCAAAATACACATCTCTTGAATACCCGTGTAATAATGCAGACATATAGCTTATATCAATTGTATTGCTTTTCAAACTTGAAGTACAAAAAGGGACACAAGTTTCCAATATGTTTAAGTTTAATACTACTTTATCTTCATTAAATTAACACTTCTTGATATAAAAGGTGATACATTAATGAGATTAGTGTTACTTGAGTTAAATTTAACAAATTAGAAACTTTCTTTCTTATTGATATTGAAAAGTTCATTGTATGCATTGTGATAATCAAATGTATTAATATTGTAAAGAAGAAATATGAACAAGTAGGTGTAAATGCTGTACAAATTTTACAAATCTATAATTACCTATGCTTTAGGAATAATGAGAAGATTAGTATATTAGTGGCGTCAGAAACTACCTGATATTCAAATCGTTCAGATGTATAAAGATGATACAATTAAAGGTATAATTCAAACCTGAGGGAATCTCATGAACTCCAAAAATATCTAGACCGGTAAACGTTAAAGTCGCAACAACACTTACAGACCAAACAGCCTATTCAGTTCTACCAGTGATTTTCCTTCAAGCTTTGTGTGAAGGTATTTCATGATTTTGGAAACAAAATATGATGATAAAATAAGGAGTCACTAACTTCATTTTGTCACTATAGTAACCTCAGTCTTGTATTTTCCCGAATATTAATATTATATTTGCTTGTTATTTAAAATTGTTAAAAATCCCATTATATCAAACCTACAAGCATAATTCTTGTCTCACGTTGAACAGTAGATTTGTATCTATCAAGTAAAGATTCTATAGTTTAAGATTCTTGTTGTTTTGATCTTTAAAATCATGATTATTTTCATTCCCGCCAAAAAAAAAAAAAAAAAAAAACCAAACACGTAAGAATGAAAAGTGTTTCTAGTAATAAAAAGTATCTACCAGTGATTTCTTCATAAAAGTTTCAAGAAGGAAAGTGCTTTGTGTACCAAATGAAATAAAAACGACCTTTCAAAAAAGTTATTGTTCATGTTTTTTTTTCTTATTTGTTTTAAAGAAAAGAGTTGTCTTTTTCAGGACATTGAATCTGACGTCAAAGTACAAGTTTACCGCACTATTCGCAAATATCGCAAATTGGAAGTTTGAAACTCACATTCAAATCTTCAATAATAACAAACCTCTTCATCTGCTTTATTTCCAGGTAATACAAGTGATCACATGTATGTATCAGGATCTCATGCAGCTGCCTCATACAATTAGCCTTCGGAAACACTGTCCGTTGGAATGGAAACTTGATCGAAATAACCTTAAGAAGGATAGTTTGTTTTTGCCCGTCCCCCTCTCTCATTGGCGACATTGTTACTATGTTCTTTTGTAAATAAAGCGTTGCACATATTTTATATATCCAAGGGTAATACCAAAAGAAAACTATTTTCTTTTTATTCTTTAAAAGTTTTTACAAATATCTTAAAGAAATCAAGGCTTGAGAGCAAATATAATGCAATTTCCAATATAATTTATATGTCCAAGGGGCATAACTCTTTTAAAAATGTTTGATCAGCACTGGTTTTTGAATTTGTCCGAGATATGGCTGGTATAAACCTATGATATAAGTTTTGTAAAAATCTGGCAAGAATTGCACACGAGATCTAGAGCGCTTATAAGACTAGGCAGACAGATAAACGGACGGATGGACGAGTCGTGCAGGAAACAAAAAGTTAAAATGAAAGATGACACTGGCTATCTTAAGGACTATTAGACTATAGATGTGTGTTTTTTTCTCTTGTCAGTTTCAGAATTTCATCCCCTCCCCCAGCGCACTTTTTAGTCTTCTCCTTTGCCACTGTTGTGTTGACATACGACAGAATCACGGACGGACTACATTATACAATAATATGTCCCGACTAAGACGAGCGTATAAAAATATTCCATCAAGGTTGTTGATTCATATTCTCTGAATTTTTTAAATGTAAGGAACTTGAAATTATAGGTATATAGTTACGTATTTAATTTAAAACGTTACATGCATTTAGCCGATTATAATATACGATCTATGGTATTACTCTTTTACAGATATTGTTTAAATGAGACAGTATATCCTATAGAAAATACAAATAAGCCTAAAAATACATCTAGTTTAGAATTGAACAATCTTCGTTTAAACTCTTAGTAATAAATTTTCATTGCAAACAGTATAAATTATTATGAATCTAAATCGCCCTTTTCGGAAATTAAAACAATGACATCGACGTATACAATAGCTGGCACCACTGAAAATCGAAACTTGTTTTCATTCTTTCCGGTCATTGTAGCTTCTTGAAAGTGAGAAATTTAATGTTGGATTTTATTCTCGGAGCATTGGTTTTTCTATTAATTTGAATTAATAACATTTTAATTTTATACACCTTATCTTTTTATCTTAATTATCGTTCAAGTAATGATTTCTTAAAAAAATTGCCTCAAGCTTAAGTAAGAGCAGGCGAAATCTTTATCATCCCCCCTTTTTAAGACACTTTTTAAATGAAGCAAATGACAAAAGACAATGAAACTTTTTTTATTATTTTTGTAGCAAAAAGATTTTGTCAAGTGAGCAATATTAATAAAATTGAACTTCAGTACAAATTCGGACATTACTTAATTATTGGGAATCATTCAGAGAATGAGGAAAACTGAAAATGCACATGGTGCCAGTAGAACTACTAGAATCATTTGTAATCGGTATAAGCTTTTAAAAGCTCAATTTTGAAAATCACATGCAGAAGTTCAAGTTCTCAGCGTGAGTCATTAGAATTTACCTGTGAACACACGTAATTCGAAATTTGAATTTGAATGTTTAATGTCATGCAAGACTACAGACCATGTAGTATCTTTTGTGTTCTATTTTGTTGAATTTTTGCTAGCTATTAGCGCGGCGCTCAATCTCACTTTTCTTGCAAAACGTATTTTGACGCTTCCCTCAGTTTTAGTCTATAACCCGGATTTGTTTTTTCTCAATCGATTTATTAATTTCGAACAGCGGTGTACTACTTTTGCCTTCATTCATATTGTAATCGTGAAAAACGCAAAATACGACATTTTAATTTGACGCCTTTTTTCGTTGTAGAAACAACGTCACAGAGCTCTTATGTCACAACCTAGTTGCGCTAATTGATGCGCATAAATAATAGGCTGTTTGGTCTTTAATAAGATAAAATGAAATAAGATAAAAATAGCTCATATGACAATACGATCGCCAAGAACAGATAACTAAATCAATCAGGTAAATGTTAACACAATTTGTAATCACAAAATTACAGATCAGCAAAAGTACAATATATATATCTGCCGCCTTTAGTTTAGAAAACAAAACGTTTTTTTAAATGTTTTTAATTATATGTTTGGAGATTAAAATGAAAATTTTGTGAATTTGTTATTTATCTATTTCTTATATAAATGCTTATGTTTAACATCACAGAATCATTAAAGTTAGTTAACTTACCTCTATAGTGATCCTAATGATGATATAAAATTGGGCTTCGAGTCTTCTTCTTTATGTAGTCTTGCAGTGTGAAATGGCACATTTCTTTTCTGTTTTTTTGGGAGTTTTTGTTTTGCTTTATCCTGCTATTTTCTTCTCAAAATAGAATGTTTCCTTGATCCTGTATATAAAATTATTAAATTCTTAATCTTTAACACTTTTTACCTCATGTATGTTTAATTTTGTAATTAAATATATAACGTGTTCAGAATATTTTGGTTATACTTACTGAAATTAGTACGCTCTTTATCCAAGGGAATTTCCCTGGAATTCATTGTATGCCTTATTATGTAATAAACGTGTATATATTTTCCCCCTATTTGTAAAAAGAAATAGAAAGAAAATGTTATCATTGAATATGTTTTTGGTGTCTATGGCTTTATCTTTATCTGTGCCTATTATCATCGTGCACATGAGTCAATATATGCTGAACAAGGCACCATCAATTTCAACAAATCAATAAGCACAACCCATAATCTGATTAGTCTCAAATTGTCGAAGTGCCAAGATACAAAACAGATTCGGAACATCAAGAAAAATATGTTACTTACATTTAGCGATAAAACCAAATATTTGTCTTATTGATGAAAGAAGAACAATCGTCTTAGCGTCTCGTGTTTGTCATCAACTCCTATCTGCTTAAAATATAATATAAAATCATATTCCGGACAAAAATGCAAGAGGAATATAATGGCAAGTGTGAGATGTATATATTCGTATCGAAGCAGTCTAAAATGATTTGTTATTCACCCATAAACACCAAAACATGTCCGATATATTTAACCCTAAGTGAATAATATGAAGATAAGAAGATATGGTAAGGTTGCCAATGAAAAAACTATCCACTAGACATGCTAGAGGCCAAATGACGTTACATTAAACGTCAACTAAAAATTTCAAATGTATCAGTAACAAATCAAGTCTTGCTTCTCTACTGCCATTAATTTTAACTGTTTCGGTTCTTATAAATCCTTGTCTTCAAAAATTCGGCATCGAGCGTTCCTTATAAGGTAAAATGCTTCGAATGCTTGACATTTATTAAAATGTTGTATTTATTTTTTAATTTATATAAACTGTTGTAAAAGAGAAGCAAAAAGATACACAAGGGTTATTCAAACTCAAAAGTTGACAACAAACTGACAATGCAATGGCAAGGCAAAAACGTAAAACGGTAAAAAAATAAACAACAGTTCACAAAACTAAACATAGTAAACGAAAGACTGAGCAACTCGAATCCTATCAAAATCGAATTTTTTGCTTTGTTTTGTAATTGACCAAACACAATTTATGAACTGTTAGATTAGGTATATCATATATGACTGCATAGACATGTGCACAAGTTGATATTCTTATTTGGTGTTCATTAAAATTTAGACCATATATACTACAATCAATTCATACATGTAGTGCGTTTGTATTTAGCCGTCCGTTAACTCCTATATAAGTTTTCACTTCTGTTCTTTAGTTCCGACCATCCCACTCATGACAATTTCGTTGCTTTTTCTTCAGGACTACTGGAATTCGACATCAAGCTTCATCTGACATCAGAATAGTACAAAAAGACCATCTGATTTCATTTTGAAAGGCTTTAACATTATCAATAACACGTTATTATTTCTTTTGTAATTGATGACAAAATATCATGAACTTATTAATGAAAAAAAATATTCATTTTTGCAGAGACATGTGTAAACTTTACCATAATTATGTTTAGTTCACTAAAATGGTGCCAGGAGCACTAAAAATCAATACATACATGAAATGCCTTGTTTACATTCGTTTTTTTGAAAACCCCATAACAACGGCGATGATAAGTGGCTTATTTACGGAATTGAATGTACTTTGTGTAGATTACTTTATGTTGATGAAACTGGACAAACTTTGCATAAAAGGATGAATCAACACCGGTCTGATAATAAAGATCCGCAATTCAGGGTTCTTTATAAATATTTTAATCAACCGGACCATCATCCGTCTTTATCTATGAAAGATCGCATCATCGAGAAAATTTATCACCACACCAATAACCCTATAATAAGTACTCCTTTCCGAAAAGATAAAGAACATTTCTGGATAAGGAAACTAGGTACTGCAATGCCATATGGTTGCCATTATAACATCAAAGGAGTAGGTAATTTGTCAAGTCCCACCTGCAGTGATGTAAATGAAATGAGCTTATGGAATACAACTTTCACATGTTTAAGACACAAACGTAGTCATGGGCAAAAACATTACCATCGGCCTAATGTAAAAAAGTCTTCCAAATCTAGATCGCCCTCTAGACGCTTTGATTACCTTCTTTCACATCTTTATCATCCGTTAGTGTTACATTACATTAGAACTATTCTATTTTCACTGCCAGTTAATATTCTAAAATGTTTGAGAGATTATGCACTTGACAAAGGAGGCATAAATACATTTTCTCCAATATATAGGCTGGTCAATATTATTTGTGATGTAGCTCTTTTGCCTCTTTTTAAACCAGTAATCGGAACCTTTACATGAGGGAAAGAGGAAATTCCTTTCTATCTAGTTTACTAATAAAGGAATTGATGCAATCAACATCAGCAACGTTCTACATCACAAGGAGGTAACATCTAAAATTCCACTTTATTTTCAAAATCTGTCTGTTCCTATTGAATCCTACAGTTACACCAAAGCCATGGCACCTACAATATCTAACTATAAGCAAGCATTGCAGTACTTTGACTTAAAACAATATCTAAAAAACCCTCTTACATGTGACTGTTCCCACTCGCCTAATATTTACAGCCCCTCTGGTCATGTTATCACTGGGGATCTTAACATAATTCAACATGAACATCTCCAAAAGGTGATATCTCATTGCCCTAAGTTTAGAGAACCCCAACACATCAATTGGAACCATAACTTCAAAATAATTATGGATTCCATTGAGGACTACGTTAGAGCATGGGATAAACGAGAAGAATCTGAACTATACACTTTGTCAGAATGGGTCAAAACAATCAGGTCTCTGATAAAACGTCGCATTCATAAGTTGAAAAACTGTGTGAATGATCAATCAAAGTCCGTTTTCAGAGACATAAAGGCTGTGGAATGTCTATCATCTCTTCACGATAAGTATGTTGTTGTTCCTGCGGACAAAGATTCAAATAATATTGCATTTGTATGTAGATCGTACTACTACGAGTGTCTTGTAAAAAAATTAAGAATAAAAGAGCACTCAGGTAATCCCACATACAAAAACATATCAACTGACAAGGACGAGATTTTGGCGAATCATAAGTCCTTCATGGCTTCAATGAACATTACATTGAACAGCAAATCGGAGGACTTACCTTGTTTGTATTGGAGACTTAAGCTTCACAAACTTCCGTACAAACAACGGCTCATCTGGATTTTTGACGAAAGAATTGTCCATTAGATTGACAAAGATACTGTCCGCAGTGAAAGAAAGTCTTCAAAAATACTGTGAAACTGTTTACTCGCGTATTGGTATAAACAATACGTGGATTCTAAAAAACTTTAAAGAACTTCTGGATAATTTTAAATCTTGATCTTTCTCTGAAATCTCTTTTGATTTTCAACCATGTAAACCCCCGTTCCCCATGAGAAATTGCAAAATCGTCTTAAAGAAATAATCAACAATGCTTTTAAATGCTGCAATACAAGTAAAAGGTTTAGCTAGCAAAAAAAACCAGGTTTAATCCACCATTTTCTACATAAGAAAATGCCTGTACCAAGTCAGAAATATGACAGTTGTTATCCATTCGTTTGATGTGTTTGAGCTTTTGATTTTGCCATTTGTTAACGGACTTTCCGTTTTGAATTTTCCTCGGAGTTTGGTTTTGGTATTTTACTTTTTTTCAACATACAAATGGTAGCATACGATATAAATTTATTACTTTGGAATACCATACGGCATATTTTGTTAATAGTGAACAAAAAAGTAAAACATGCTACACAGAGGAACAAGTGATCAGTATGCTGGAGTTCCTTATTTACAACATATTTGTTGAATTTGGAGGTAGACTTTTTCAACAAATTGTCGGCATTCCTATGGGAACGAACTGGGCGCCTCTCCTTGTCGACCTCTTCTTATTTTCATATGAGTCGGAGTTCCTTCAGACACTTGTCAAAAACAAGAAGATGAAAGAAGCTAGATCATTTAATTTCTCATTCAGATATATTGATGATGTTTCTTCCATTAACAATCAAAATTTTTCTGATTTTCTATTAATATATTCTCAAGAACTAGAAATGAAAGAAACAACAGTCACGGCTTCATCTGCATCATTTTTAGAATTATACATCGAGTTTGACATAAGCGGTCTTCTCAGTACCAGAATCTATGACAAAAAAGACGATTTTAATTTCCCCCACCTTAGTAGCAATATACAAACTTCATCTGCGTATGGGATATACATTTACAAACTCATTCGGTATTCAATAGCTTGCAGGTGCTACTCAGACTTTGTAAAACATCACCAGTGTCTGGGCAGAAAGTCTGGAATATGACAGTTGTTATCCATTCGTTTGATGTGTTTGAGTATTTGATTTTGCTATTTGCTTAGGGACTTTTCCTTCAGAATTTTCCTCGGAGTTCGGTATTTTTGTTATTTTAATTTTTATTTCTGTTTTTCCATTCCTGCATCTGACCCGTGAAATGTTCTTTGAATATGTCTTAGATACGGATCTACATATTATAGAATTTGATATCAAACTTCATAAGAACATATCATGCATAATTACATTTCCGATTTCCGTCATATATTTCTCAAAGCTACGTATCAGAATTTTCTGAAATTAGGTATCAAGCTTTATGTAAGCATGTTATACTATGTGATCTGTCCTCGCATCCATTTGTCAATAACTTTAAGTCTATAGGATACTAACCGCGGGTGCACCATATGTTAGCACTTGCAAATTGTACGTCTTGTTGATTACATGAAAATATTGACAAATGTTCTATATGACAAATATAGTTTGTACGTAACACGAATTTATATATCTACGCACTTAGAAATGTTCTGGTTGCCTATCGATTATATCGAGTGAAAAATCATAGAAGTCGTCTGCCCGATTAATTCCCATATCAGTAGCAGCCGACGTTTTCTGAATAATGCGGTAAATCTGAAATTTGTATTTTCTTTG